TAAACATCTGATCATATAATACCTCGGGTCTATATATCAATTTTGATTTTATAATTGATTTAAAAATAGATTGTAAATACATTTGAACACTTTTGGAGAAGTGACAGAATCCATAAAATTTCAAATGTATTCAACTAATTTGGAACAAGTATAACGTTTTTAAGATAACACGTCTTGTGATTTAGATGGGTTAAAAATTATAGATTTTAAAAAAATCTATAATACTATAACATGGATTAAAAAACCCATGTTATAGTATTGGAACGAGCAAAAATTCATCAAAAACAACTCATTGCTATTAAAAAACAAAATGTTATCAAAAGATTGCAAAGCTAAAGTGATCAGCGATGAAATGATAAGGAATTGAATTGAGCGAATAAAACATTCGAAAACGCCCACAAATCATTCACAACTTCAAATATTATATTAAAATTGAATTTGTATTTAAGTGTTCTTTTCGTAAGGAAACTCTAACAACATTTGTCTAAAAGTTGGAATGTACGTGCTGTCACAACAAGTGTAATTGAAAGTGAAAAATGATATATAATGCTTATATAATAAGATGGTTCGACATATTACAAACTGTAAATGGTATACCAAATTTATTAATATTTTATTTGGATGATGTTGGACACTAATAATTTACTGATACAACCAAAAAAAGAAAGTGTTTGAATTATTGGCAACTTCAAAAACATCTACTTTGTCAACATAAGTGGTATAATATCAACCTCACTGTATACGTATGATGGAACATACATTTGTTTGTTTTACTGAGTAAAATCTTATAAATTGAGATGTTTTCACTTGGATTGACTGAGCAGCATTTTGATATGATTTATAGTGAAACTGGTTTTACAACTTTTCAAAATTTTAAAAAATAAACCAAATATCAATTCATTCCATTTCAAACGAAAAAGAAACATATTGTAATATCATGGTTATGCGGTATTAATTGTAGATGTATTTGGATCTCACGTCACTGAAAGATGTATCAACATATACACTTTATTTGTATTATTTTTGTATTGCCTTTTCATATGAGTCATCAAATGCAACCACTTAACATTATTTTTTAGGGGGGAGAAAAAGAGTTTTGGCAAATATAAAAGAAAGTATAAATCAATCGGTCAACATAATACAGTCAATACAACAAAATTCAACAATCAAAAATGTATTTTTGGCATTTTGAGGAAGCGGGTTTATCACAATAACAAACTCCGACGTGTAAAACATCGTTCAAGTAATAACACAAAACGCCGTGAAAAATACAAGGGGTTGTCCCTCCATCAAATTTTTTTTATATTTTTAATATTAGTAAAACATTTCATATGAAGGAGCCAATGTCATAAACCAACTGAGATCAAATGTGGTTGTAACTTACATTACAAATCCCTAATATGTATTGTGTACATATTAGGGATTCATTTTAAATAAATGCATCCCAATATTATTATTGACAATTTTGTGTTAAGGCTTGTTTAATAGAAATATGAATAAAAATTAACAATAAATAGTTGTTAATAATAAAATATAGTCAATCTTGTCGAGCCGGACTTTTTTCCACCAACTCTTTGTAAAATATTAAAGATATATATTCTATATTTAAAATTGTAAATCACGATCAAAAACTTGACATTTTTTAAATAATTGTTATTCAAAATGTTATTCAATTAAAAAACGATTTTATTTTAGTTTCGTAAAAAATGAAGTTCGTTGTTTTTTGTAAAATTAGTTTTGCCTAAACACAATTGACACTTTTAAAACAATTATTTTACAAAAACAAATTTCACTTACAATTTACCACCCATTAGATTGTTTTTGCAAACGATGGTTTATTTTTCCATAATAAAACGGCATAAAAAAGAAAGTGCTGGTTTTGCAATACCGATTACAATCATATACGAAACTATATTAACCAACAGAATCAATAAAATTCGTGATTGTTTTAATTAAATTTTTTTTTCATGAACATCTACTTTTTCTTTGTCATTTGCTATAAAGTGAATAATTTATTTGCTATTAATCCCGTTTGTTGTGGTTAAAAAATAGCAAAATTGACAACAATATTCAACAAAAAATGTTATTTAGAACAAAAATTATCTCGATTTGTTTTATTAAACAAACCTAACAAACAGTAAATTATTTGATTGAATAAATTTTTGGAAAGAGAATCTTCTTCGTATGAAAAGCGGAAAGGTTTTTAAAAATCTTATCTAATCCCGAATTGTAGCTCTTTTATAATATTTAAATAAAATAAAATGATATTGCTTATGATAAAATCCCCATTCGATAAAAGTGTGTTTAACAAATTCTTTTGTTTGATTGACATTGGTTTGAAGAAGATTCAATCAACTGAAGAACTGGTTTTATTCATTCCAGTCATGCAAAATGTATTTATTAAAGTACTTATATGTGGAGAGGTTGGATCAGGAAAGAAGTCTCTTATCAATGCGTTGAACAAAAAACAAATAACAACCGTCTTTCCTATACCTCGCAGTGAATATGTTTGTTCTTAATTGCTCAAATGGTCTTTAAAAACAGTTAAATAATTAACACAGAGGAAGTGATGGAAATGGTTGAAGGTAAAGTGAAGATAACTGTGCAACTCTATGACGAAATGAACTTGAAAGCACAAAATATTGATCTTAACAATCTTATCAAAACATTTAACATTATCCTTCTTGTGTGTGACATCACAAAACAAGACTTTTTAGAACAGTTTAAGAGTCGGTTGAACTTTATCAAAAACAGTAGGACAAAATCTAAAGTTTGCTTTTTGCTTTCCAAAGACGACTTCCACCATGGGAAGACAGTTGACTTTGAAATTGTCGACGCGGCTCTAAACAACAACACGCAAATCATTTCGTTCTCTTCAAAGACACGAAATGGCATCGATAAAATCGAAAACGAGTTCACAGACTTTATACGACTGACTGCAGACAAATCAGTTACTAAGAAAATGGGGAAACAGTCACACAAACAAACTTCATCTCTATCACAAGAAAACTTGCAGACAAAACCACACTCTATCTTTTCCAAATTTAAGGCTATATATAAAAGCTAAGTGTAAACAATTCATTATTATTCAGTCTTATATTTTTTAATATCCCTAAGATATCTACAGAATCTATTGATTTCATATTTACTCGAAAACAACCACAATATTAAAAATTAAAGTTTAAAGATGATCATATATCTGATTCTAACTCTCGGCACTTCATAAACGATGAGCTCGGAGTGTGAATTCCACGAGTCTTTGAGTTTCATGTTGATGATCTTCCCCTTAGCTACTTTGAGTCCATCATCAATAGTAACAGTCTCTTTGGGATCTGGCTCAACCATACCAAGTGCATACGTCGAATCAGTGCCTGGTTGTGGTTTTTCCATGTACTTGTCGTGTAAAGTCTCCCACTGCTTACCAAGTGCAACTTCACAGAACAACATACACCCTTCTTGGCTATTGTTATACGTACAATAACTCACCGACTTCGATGCACAGTTTGCAAAGTACAACCCT